AAATACTCTACAAAGACAAAAAATCATTGAGAAACCATTTAGCAGGCGGAGTCGAGATGTTAAAAGATGTAATGAAAAGCATAAACATAAAAAGAAATATGTATTCCTGGGTAGCTAGCTTTATTGGCGGTTAGCTGAATCCCATGACTTTGCTTGAGATTTCAGAGAAATAAGATTAACAGTCTTGCTTCTGTAGGGATACAGTGATAGGTATCTCTCTATTTTATGAAAGTGTTTTATCATCATAAATATTTCTGGTTTTATTTAAAATTCTATTCATTAATCAGAATCCCAAATTGATTTTTGAACGGGGTTGTTTACTTGCTGCCTGCCCTTAGTAACTCTCTTCATTGACTGTAGAATTTGCAGAGCACGCAGAATGGTAAAAGAGCAGCAATTGTTGTCGTCCAATTACAGCTATTGACCTGTGCTGTCCTACAGTGTTGGAATACCAGCACAACAGTTTTAGATTTTCCAAACACAATTCCTGAAGGACAAGCGTCTTCCAGATGTTTGGAAGAAATATTTGACTGCTGCCTGGTGATTTCAAACACATGTATAGCTATCAAAATCATTTGATATAATAGTTTTGTAATTATTTATGGTGTCGCCATTTCATACCTATATTCCCAGTTATTCTTTCTCTCTGTGTAGATAGTACAAATAAATTGACCTTTAAACTGCTGCATTACATTTCACTTTTGGCATTTATGTTGTGTCTTCTACTTGCAGTAATATCCTCTTTATTATCTTTTTAGCAAGGCCTGCTGTGACAGGGCAAGAGGTAATGGTTTTAAACTAAAGGAGGGTAGATTTAGGTTGGATATAAGGAACAAATTTTTTACAATGAGGGTGTAACACTCATTGTAAAAACACTGGAATATGTTGCCCAGAGAGGTGGTGGAGGCTCCATCCCTAGAAACATTCAAGGTCAGGTTGGACAGGGCTCTGAGCAACCTGATCTGGTTAAAGGTGTCCCTGCTCACTGCAGGGGGGCTGGACTAGATGACCTCTAAAGGTCCCTTCCAACCCAAAGCATTCTATGATTCTGTGATTATCAATATCATGTCCATGGCAAGTGACCCCACTAACACCAGAATGACTAGCTGTAGACATAGTTATAGGCAGCATAGCTCTTATGGGTTGTGGGTTATTTTTTTAACCTTAAACCTGATTGTTGGAAACACCAGTATGTGTATTGATTATCTCCTAAGAGCACATCTGCTGATTCCAAGGATCTGTGCTCTGAACACAGCAAAGTGGTAATTCCAGCCTCTTCTGTTCTATGCCCTCCCTTCTCCTTCATCTGAGTTTTTCCTAGTTCTTCAGGATCAGCCTCGACAGGTTGGGAGAATGGAAACATATACTCTGTTTGAGCAGCACTACATCAGCTGCCCAAATGACCAGTGCTTCACAGCAGGCTTGGTGCAACCTGAAATTCAAGGGTTTGCTGTGCAGATATGCACGTATTATCCTGTCCAGACACAGCGGTCATTTGTCCAGAACACGAAGGTGTCACAATTATCATTCCCACGGGACCGTTACAAGACAAGATGTTTCAAATAACCTTCAGTCCTTGCTCAAATGTCTCTACAAGTCTCAGTTCCAGAAAGATCAGAAACTAGAAGATGAATAAGCATAAAAGCTTACTTGGAATAAAAATCTTGGTGTTGTGTACTTGAAGTTGGGGAATATTGATTTCACAAGGAATTAGATGCTTTTTCTGCAGCATCTGACTCCAGTCCTTCTACTTGTAGTTCAATGGGTAACAGACTTGGGCTGAAACTGGTCCTGTCCTTAAAGGACCAGCATACTCTGTTACAAAAGCTAATTAGTATCTGCTGTTTTGCTAATTAAAACAGCTGTTTGCATTTTCCTCTTTGGGGATTTTAAAGACAAGTTTTTAATTGTTAGTAAAGCCTTGGCAGTTCTTTAATTAGCAATGGGTGAACTTCAAAAGGTTGAGCAACTCGTTTCTCTCTGAATGCTCAGCCAAAACTTATGTAAAACTTTATTTTGGATCTGCAATTCTATGATGGAAAACTCAGGTTACACTGTAAAATTTCTGTGCTTTCTGTATTCTGCCTGTTGCCCACTCAAAAAGTTGAAGATAAATAGGTCAGGACACTGTATATATTTGAAGCTTTCAGTGTATGTTGCGGCCTAGCTCTCCTCTCTTTTCCCATGGACTTTCTCAGGATGCTCTGATGTCCACGGGTAGTCCATCTCCATCCCAGTGCTGTTTCCTTTGCCCTGGTGAAGACGTGAGTTTGACCCAGGAAAAGTCATTGGCATGCTGTTAGTACTGTCCTTTGGAGTACTAGAAAGACAAAGAAAATAGTAATTTAAAATAGTTGGTATTTCAACCAGATTGGAACCATATTTCAAGTGAGAAAGAAAACCCATTCCGTATTTTGGGTGGGTTTGAATTCTGTCATAAACAGTCTCTGTTGCAGGAGTTTGATGTAAAAGATGGTATTGCATGCATCTTCTCTTCGAGAGTATAGGAGTCATTACTAGTGTCTGCCATAACAAACCTTAGAAGACTATAGAAAGACCATTCAGAAAAATTGTTTTTTTTTTTTTTAATCAAGCAGACCCAAATATTTGACAATCAGCTGAAGTCCTCTTAAAAGATTTCTTAAAAATTCATATTTACCATTTTAGGCAGAAGATATGAGTGACTTTGTTACAGAATTCTGTCTCAAAAAGATGAAAATGTCTATTGTTGCATGATCTAATAAATGTAGGACTAGTTGTTATTATACTTGTTTGTTACTCTGTGTTGAAATATTTGCCCTAATCATCAGGTTATTTACTTGCAGGCAAATCCATTCAGCATTCATATGTAACTTTTTCTTAAAATGCATCTTTACAATATGGGCAATAGAGAATAAGGCATCTAAGAGCTAAATCAAAGGAAGGACAAAGACAACCTGATTTTCAGTGTGCTACTGTGCTGCAATATTTTCTTTTTAAACTGTATTGTTTTGAAGGAATTTAAATACAGTAGCTGCATTGTTTATTAAATAAAATACACAGTTTTTGATCTGGGCTTTTCTTTCTTCCTTTTTTTTTTTTTTTTTTTTTTTTTTTTTTTACTGTGACCTTTTTGTATTTGTCATGCCATTAGCATTTGTAGGTTGGCATAGCAACTCTCTTATTTCTGCACTCTCCTCCTCCTGCTTTCTCCTACCCCTGTAGCAAATATCTCTCCAGTTAGTGAATCCTGTCTGGAACACTGATGCACATCAGTTTTAATGTGTATATTAAATATTAGGATATCATTTTTGCTAGGAAAGAAGAACCCTACAACTGGGTGATTAAAACCAGTGGTTCTCAAAAGGAAAACAAGATAAGCATTGTGGATGAAAGGAATGTGATTTAGAAAGCAATCCAGTATTCTTTAAAATACAAGCATTTTAAGACAGTTATCTCAGAATACAGAAGATCAATTATTTCTCTGTGTGGGGTTGCTTAGATTTTGGGACTTCATATACCTTTTGGTTTTTATTAATTCTTTTTTCAGAGTGATGAATTCATGTTGTTTTTAATAATTCTTTACCAGAAGTTACTCAA